TATTCTGCAAGGTACAAGAACCTTTTTCTATCAGTACTTACTTGTTAAAATAAGGTAATGTAGTGTATTCTGCAAGGTACAAGAACCTTTTTCTATCAGTACTTGTTAAAATAAGGTAATGTAGTGTATTCTGCAAGGTACAAGAACCTTTTTCTATCAGTACTTACTTGTTAAAATAAGGTAATGTAGTGTATTCTGCAAGGTACAAGAACCTTTTTCTATCAGTACTTACTTGTTAAAATAAGGTAATGTAGTGTATTCTGCAAGGTACAAGAACCTTTTTCTATCAGTACTTACTTGTTAAAATAAGGTAATGTAGCACCAGCCATCCTTATATTATCACATCCAAGAAAATAAAGAATAGTGTACAATCCCAAGGAGAGAATGTTAAAAAACAGCACAAACTGGATGGCCCCTAAAGAAGCACATACAAATCACCATAAAGTTATCATACCAAAAATCTTAAAATGTAATCAGAAGAAATTCTCAATTTTTGTGAACATAAAAACAATCATAGAATCTCAAAAAACAAAACTATTTTGTTAACACATATTGTTTATAAAGATACTTTAATGCTTTCTAGTTGACTAGTCTCTTAAGCCATCCAAACAATGTACTGTTGTTAGTGACAGAGCAAATAGGATTTAGGTTTTATCTATAGAAACACTGAATACAAGTCTAAAGAGGTTATACTATCATTATATAGGCAACTGGTTAGGTCACATTTAAGGTTTTGTGTTCAATCCTGTGCTCTTTATTTTGGGAAAATGATCAGAGAAGGGTTAAAATATCTGAAACTATTTTCTCTTGACAAAAAAAATCTAATAGAGGTGTTTAAGATTTTTAAGAAAATTGATAGTGTTGATGCATCATCTTTTTTTCATATTTAATGGTGAGAATGTTAGGACTAGGAGACAAAGTATACATTTTTGGCAGAGAAGGAGTCGTATTCAACTGAGACAGTTTTACTTTTCTAACAGGGTGGATGGCCTTTGGAACGGGTTCCCTTCAGATGTGGTAGATGCAGTCAATTTAAAGAAGTTTATGAGAAGATTTGTAAATGTTTTTATTATATAGTTTGGTTTTGTGGTTGGGAGGGCTTAAATGGCCCAACAGGTTCCTTGTTGTCCTGACATTATATGCAATGTTTAATATTTAGAAGAATGTAAGTTATTGTTGAACAATTGTAGAGAGGATGTGTTTACACTGTCAAGTGAAGAAAATATGTAGGAGTATACATGGACTTTTCTCTACACTAAAATACTTTTAATGGTGAGGTTTCAGCCCTCTTCCCACCAGGCAACAATGTACAGTACATTATTGCCCGATGTAAGTTACTATTGAACAATTGTAGGGAGGATGTGTTTACACTGTCAAGTGAAGAAAATATGTAGGATTATACACAAACTTTTCTCTACACTAAAATACTTTTAATGGTGAGGTTTCAGCCCTCTTCCCACCAGGCAACAATGTACAGTACATTGTTGCCCGACGAAGGCTCTGGTAAGATGGCCAAAAGCTTGCAAGTAAAAGTATTTTAATGTAGAAAAAAGTCCATGTATAATACAACATATTAATTTACCTACATTACGAGTCTTAAAAAAACAATGAAGAAAATATGTTGGTACTAGATCTGTGAAAGTAAGAAGATATGCACTTACAGGATAATATGAGTAGATATGGTTATTGAGCTTTTTTAATAAAGTACCACAGCTAAATGAGTAGTGTATGGCCAATGGTAACACATTCCAAATTCTAGACTTTTCAATCCAGTACCTGATATGTCAACCACCTGGCTATGTCGGACCCCAAAAAATATACATTAATCAAATAATGCTTCTATCACAGCAATGTCAGTCTGTCCTGTTTCTGATGTATTTTATACTATTTATCTTAGTTACAATTAAAAGTGGGCAAACAGGAATAGCAACGGTAATCCATTCTGATTTGAGCTTAAATTTTCAAACTATATATTTATACATATCGATTAAACAATCAAAATAAAAAAAACATACGTATATAAATGCTTGAAACTCATTAGTAATAAATTTTAAAATGGATTAATAACGTTAATGAAAATTGTAATAAAGAAATATATTTTTGTTTTTCATTAAATAACCTAAGCTTGTATAACACATGGGATTTCCAGTTTTCTAACATAATATGTAAAAAGATTACTTCGTGACTTTCACCTTTTGGTCGAAGCTGAAACCTCTTCAGTAAGTAACCTCCCAGGAATATCCCTACACAAGCTCCTGGTATGGCTATTCCACCTGAGTGGACATAATAGAAATATCTCGATTACAACTGGAACTGAAAAAAATATTTGTTTTCTTCAGATATATGAATAAATGTACTAAAGCTTAGGTTGATTTAGTTTGTACTGAATATGTATCATGAATATCATAGAGTATGTTCTAGGTCAGAACATGCAGGACTGTAGAACATTTACTTTGCTTTATGACCTACATAGTGTAATAGTTAAAGTTCGGCTTCTTTCATCAACAGGAATGATAATTTAACTTTGTATAAAGTACCATGTCAGACTTTTATATATTGTTTCCCGTTCTAAGTTTGAACTGGGGACGATAAGGTGTCATCCTTTCTACTAACCGAACAGACTGGGGATGATAAGGTCTCATTCCTTCCAACGTCCCATTAGGGACATAAGAGTATAGTGTACAAAAAGAAATCTTTAAGTTACACACAAGAAAAGTCAAACTTTGGTGAGCTTCTGCATCAAACTGAATCTAAAAAAATTTTCTTTAAAGTTTCTTTTGAAATAAAAGAATTAAAACTTTTATAATATAAAACTTTGAACTATAATGAAAATTATTTTAATGTTAATTTCATTGGAATACATTGATATTAAGATTGCTTAATTAAATTTTGAATGTAACAAAGTAAAATCTTATGACTTGAGCAGTACAAGGGTGCCCGTAATTATAGAGTTAAACAATGTTCTCCCCGGGTAGTAACAGTTATTACCTACTTCAAGAATAACAAAGGAACAGGGGTAACTCGAAACAAGGTCAAGTTAATGGTTTTTCTTGACCACATGTGATGTGAAAACTGTAAATATTCAGAACAAAGAATAAATTCAGAATTAATGTTATAATAGTATAAGAATAAAGAAATACATGATATGTTCATAAACCACAACTGCAGCTCCAGGAAAATGGATGTTTTAACATGATATGTTCATAAACCACAACTGCAGCTCTACAGAAATGGATTTTTGAACATCAAGTGCTTTAAAATCAAATATTTTCAGCTGTAATCCACTGTAAACATTCCATACTAACACAATCTTACAGTAAAAAAAAATCAACATCTTCAGTTTAGAAAAGTTATATTAATGAAGCTAATCTCACTGTCACAGTACCTGTAAATACATTAGCTTCGGACTTTCCCAAGCTAAACTGAGTCTCTAAGTATTTTGGAAGAAAGATGATGAAGCCGTTGACAATAGATAGCTCCATGGAAGCTCCCAGACAGGTGACTATATAGATTGGATTACTCAGCAGATGCCACATAGAAACTGGAATATCTGTTAATGAAGTGAAAAAAAATAAAAGCAACACAAGAATGAAATAACGATAATTTTGAAAAAGAAGACAATATTAAGTATTTCAGAAAATTAGAACATTATGTGAGATTCGACACATAATCAAATGTATAAAAACTGGTATGTTTGTGTAAGTGGAACTTCTTTGGGTGTGATAAATTTGTGGTGTAATGTATCAGAACTACATCATTCTACCATTTCATACGTAGTGTGATATCACCGATATAAAGTCGTGATGTAATGTATCAGAACTACATCATTCTACCATTTCATACATAGTGTGATATCACCGATATAAAGTCGTGATGTAATGTATCAGAACTACATCATTCTACCATTTCATACATAGTGTGATATCACCGATATAAAGTTGTGATGTAATGTATCAGAACTACATAATTCTACCATTTCATACGTAGTGTGATATCACCAATATAAAGTCGTGATGTAATGTATTGGAACTACATCATTCTACCATTTCATACTTAGTGTGATATCACCAATATAAAGTCGTGATGAAATGTATCGGAACCCACCTTCAAAGTTTAGCCATTACAATCAAGAGAATAAGCAAGTTCCCATAGTCAGTTTTGAAGGGTTTCATATTTGTAAGGTTAGTTTAATCCATTCTGCTGACTTACAACTATCTATACTCAATGATAGTAAATTTTGGTTTGTTCTGTTAGGTTCTTAACCTTATAGGGTAATTTCACCTTAATACAGTAATTTGAGGTCATATAAAACACAATATTTCAATGCCATCAGTCTCTTGAGTTAAGATTGCCATACTCAATATCCAAGAAGCCGCAGTGGTAGCGACGTTTTAATATATTTAGCTACAGGTAGGTATCTTGAGATTTTAAGTAAAGCTGTTGACAAACCTTGCAACTTTTATTAGTATTGAAAAATAAGTGTAATAAGTATCGTGAAAAAAAAACTTGTAAATTCATATACATGAATAAAGAAAGAATTACGTTTCTTGTTTTCCAAGAGGCAAGTGCCCCACCCCCCTGCAGTAAGAGGTAAGAATCCACAAACACAAAGGTCAATGGGAAAAGCCTATGGATTTCCACGAGATTGGAATATTGAAATAGGGACTGGGAAATCGTCGTCATCTTACACTAGAATAGTTATAGAAAGCATTAAGGAGGAGGGGGTGTGCTTTGAACATGGCAGCTTTATCAGAGGGTCTTTCTGCACAGCCATTGTCAAGATGCATGGTCATCAGAGTAAGACTAGACATGACAACATGGACTGTGACAATGTGGGGATGCTCCAAAATCATTTTAATATAACATTCTCAACCTCTGTATTATGTGGAACTAGGCTTCAATATCTCACACAGTGTTGAGTGTGGTATGGTTAGGAGATTTAAAATTGAGAAAAAATTTTAAATTTTCATTTTTGTTACCCGAGGGTTGAATTTCTGATCATAATTCTTGTACATTTTAAACATTTCACAAGGAATTACTATAATTTAGAAGTAATAATATTTAAAGATTTTGAGCATAATTTTTTGCATGAAACTTCTTGCTAAACAAACCTTTAACATCTTTCCCATACTTCTGTTTCTTTTCAGCTTCCTTGGAGACAGAATGACTTGGCTCCGTTTCTCCAGGCATGTGTAGTTCTTCTTGTATTTGCTGTTCATTTGACGGTGAAAGTTCATTAGTTTCCAAAATCAGGCGTTCCTTTTCTTTCCTCAGAGTTTTAGGGAAGGCAAAGAATGGAATTGCAATCTGTTAAAATGTAAGTAAAATGATCATCACCGTTCCTCATAAGGAATCAACAGAGGAACTACAACATGGCTAAAGACTATGTAAAGGAGGAATACAGATATTTCTACTATCACACGTAAAATAGCTACGTTCATTTTCACATCCAATCACCCACAAGTCCAACAATAAATAGCAGTTCAAGTATATAAAACCATTATTACAAACATAGAAGCATATAAAACCATTATTACAAACAGAGAAGCAAATAAAACCATTATTACAAACAGAGAAGCAGATAAAACCATTATTACAAACAGAGAAGCATATAAAACCATTATTACAAACAGAGAAGCATATAAAACCATTATTACAAACAGAGAAGCAAATAAAACCATTATTACAAACAGAGAAGCAAATAAAACCATTATTACAAACAGAGAAGCATATAAAACCATTATTACAAACAGAGAAGCAAATAAAACCATTATTACAAACAGAGAAGCATATAAAACCATTATTACAAAGGAGAGAAGCAAATAAAACCATTATTACAAAGAGAGAAGCAGATATAACCATTATTACAAACAGAGAAGCAAATATAACCATTATTACAAACAGAGAAGCATATAAAACCATTATTACAAACAGAGAAGCAAATAACACCATTATTACAAACAGAGAAGCATATAAAACCATTATTACAAACAGAGAAGCAAATAAAACCATTATTACAAACAGAGAAGCAAATAAAACCATGTTTTATAAGACCATTATTACAAACAGAGAAGCAAATTAAACCTTAAACGTAATAAAAGAAACCAAAAATATGGGAAGTAAAAAATATGCGACTTAGCTAAAAAAAACAACACTAGTAACTAATCATATGTTAGAAAATTGTTAGAAAAATAACACCGATGTTCCTATAATTATTTCCTTCTGTATAACACCGATGTT